GGGTCAATATTATATCAAAGTGATATATGCTTAGGCTTAGGTATGGACTTCTTTTTGGACACTCCTATTCATGATGAGAACATGGTGCTTTTTTTTTTTTCCTTCTCATTCTCTAACTACAATTATATATTTTTATACCAGTCTAATTTGTTCCGATATTCATACTGATATACCGAAATACTTTTGTAAAAAATATATATTATTATATAATATGAAAAATTAGTTCCAAAAAGAGTTTAATTATTATAATAAAGTATTGTTATAAATGAGGGTTGCTATAAAGATGTCGGAATATACCCACATAATCATAATCACTTTGCACATCCTATAATTGCACTTTCACAACAAGCCATAGCGCATGTTCATAAAGATAACATTGGTCCACTTCCCCTATTCTCTTTTCATATTCCTTGGAAACAAAGTTTAAAAGCCCTATTGCATTGCACCCTCTTTTACTATTGCGTTGCCCTATTGATTTGTGATCTCACTTTATTTTTTACTATTAACTGCTAATATTTAAATATTTGATTTGATAATTAGTAATTTTTTACTTTTTAAGGTAGTTGGCGAAGGAGTCATAAGGTAGTAACGTATGCAATGATTCTATCCAGTTAAGCGCCAAGTTGCTAGCCCCACTCCATTTTGAAAAACAACTAATTAAGATTAAGCAGTAATTAACTGATGTTTAGTGGGTAGTGAGTTTGTTGGCTAAACTCCAATCATGACAAAAGTCATCTTTATGTCAATTACTCCATACATCCAATTAATAATTAATTTTTACGGACTTTACTCTTTAGATTAGTTGTTAGAGACAGAAAAGAGTCAGAAAAAGAAACCAAAACTATGGTTTTGATATTGTCAACTTTAAATACATCTCTCTTGTTATGCTAAATGCTTACTGTTAAGTTCCCTCTTCCCTTGGTCAAAACTTACTCAATACCAATACGGAAAATAAAGAAAACAACTAATGCTATTTTCAACAACTTCCCACAAACAAAGGGCACAAAACTAGAAATGCCAAGCTTTGCTTTACGTATGCCCACATGCAGATTTCAATAGTCAAGAATCAAAGATGCTTTTAATAAAAGGAAAAATTAATGGTACCCCATATAAGTCCACTTCTTGGAGTTCCATCCATTAATTTCTTTCCTTTATCCCTACGGCAAAGTTGTGTACCATTTTCATTTTTCTCAACATCAAGATGCGCAAATTACCGCTCCCACCCCCACCCCCAACAAAACAAAACAAAAACAATTGGAATTTTAGTTATATACACTGCTACTTGATAGTGTAATTTAACTAGATATAGTGGGTTGCTTTATTAATTACGAGGTTACTATACTATGTTTGCTATGAAGTTATTTTTAGGCAGTATCGGAGTCACGTTTTAATGATACCTCTTTTGTCGAAAAATTACACACTGATGCTAGGTAAAAATATTTATTTTAAGCATATATATATATATTATATTATTGAATTTTCTTAGTTTTTTTATATGTGTAATTTTTTATATTGTGATACTTCTTAGTGAAAATCTTGCTTTCAACAGTCAACTTAATTTGATAATGTAAGAATTTTAGATAGAACTTAAACTCAGATTTGGATTATTACATCTGGTCTTATAATGTTACTTTTGGAGATGCTTCGAGGCTAATATTGTCATTTCGTTAACTTCAATGTACTACATGTTTTGTTTGAAAACGATAGTGATTTCCTTTTCTCAAAATTCCTATTCTTTTTATATTAATAATTTAAGGAGAATCAATCCTGTAAAGACCCAGAAAAGCAAAGAGAGAAAATCTTTTTATCTAAAACAAAATGAGGAAGAAAAAAACAAAAAAAGCAAAAGCAAGATTAGGACTTCGAGAAGACAGCCCAAATGCATGCCTGTCTCGTTTGATCATTCAGTTGTAGAGAGACAAAGAGCGTCTCTTCTTACTGTGTGTGTGAGAGAGAAAAGATAAAATTCTCAGACCCACAAGTACGTACAGTGTCATTAAAACAGAAAAAAAAAAAGAAAAGAAAAGCATCATCAGCGAGACAAAGCGATAAAGTTGCAAGACACAGCGCATAAGCCATCACTCTCACTTTGTGTCGTGTTTTCTTTAGTATTTCATTTGGACCCCAATTTTATTTATTTTTTAATTCCAAAATATATATAAACATATAGGAACTCATCATTCCACTCTGTTAAATCTTCTGTTTTAGTGGTTCCCTTGATGCTTGACATCAAAGCTACACTCAATCATTTTCAGTGGCTCTCTTGGACTCTTAAAATTAAAGATAGATATTGGGTTTCAAAAAATTCTGAGATATAGCTTTTCTGTTTGTAGGTGACTGTTTGTTCTTTTCCTTAACAATTTCCTCGAGTTTGGTGTTTCAAGAATCCCTTTCTCCTGCTTTTTAAGAAGCTCTTGGGACTGGTGAGTTTCAAAAATCCTTTCTTTTTGTAGTTGTGTTAATTTCTTGAGACCTGTATTGTTAAAGGTTTAATCTTTTGTTTGTTGTACTCTTTCAGATTAATAAAGAAAGAAACTTTTTTTTTCTTTATTGTTAAAGTTTTGCAGTAGAATTGGTTTAGAAGGAAGAAAAATGAGGTCTTTTGATGTTTTGTCACAATTCTGATATTTTCATTCTTATAATCAAATAGTTTCTCAGCTCTGAGTTGTCGGCCTGATAACATATAGTGGATGTTGAAGCCATTGTTTTGTCTTTAGGTGTCCAGTCTTGTTGTCTTTGGAAATGCCATTATAAGTGAATTAATTGTGCTTTGAATTTTGCAAAGAATGGCTGAAATTAGAGTTAGAAAGGTAGAACAAGGCCAAACCAAAATTAGGAATGTTCCAATTGCTGTGACCCCAGAGGGTTTCTGGTGTTGTCCCTCTCCCAATGTGTTTCAGAAGAGCCTCAAAACACAGAATCCTTTAAACAAGCCCAAATCTCCTGTTCCTACAACCCAAACCCCGGCTCACAAGAAACAAACTTCAGTTACTGAGAAAAGACCGGCTAGTGCAGCACCTAAATCAGGTATTGTTTCTGATGAAAAAAGAGGTGTTAGTTCTGATACACCCGTCGTTAGTGCATCGGTGCCTGCAGAGAGAACACCTCGATCAAAGGTTGAAAATGTACCAAGGAAAGTATCGATTGAGTTTGGTGAACCAGGAACTAGCGATCTCAGGGTGATCTTGCTAGGAAAGCAGGGGTTCACTGTGAAGTTGAATGTTCACAAGAGTATTCTGGTAGAAAATAGCAGTTATTTTGCTAATAAAATATCAGAACAGCAGCCGGTTTTTCCTTGCATTGAAATTGATGATTGTGAGGATGTTGAGATATATGTTGAAACCGTCGGCCTCATGTATTGCAAAGAATTTAAGCAGCGGCTGATCAAACAAAGTGTTTCTCGTGTTCTGCGTATTATCAAGGTAATTTGGAAATCTTGGAATGGACTTCCCTTTGTATATGTGTCTGAGTTTTTCCACTAGAACTGCTGCTTATATTTTAGAGTAACTCCCTAATGTTTTCTTTTGTTGAGAAAGAGTAACTGCTTAATGTTTTTCTTTTGTTGAGAAAGAGTAACTGCCTAATGTTTTGTTGATGCAAGTAGTTAACTTAAATCAACAGTTCCCCATAAAGTTCTGTTAACTTAAATCAACAGTTCCCCATAAAGTTCTGTTCTTTCATTTTGTAAATGTAACTCAAATATGCTATGTTTCTGTATACCTGCCATAGCTCTTGCTTCCATATGTTTAGAGTGATCAACAGATTTATTGAAAGTTGCTTAAAGATGAAGGCATAGGCTGTTCCAAAGCAACTTCTGTGTTTCATGGCTTTTTTAAATTCAAACTATGGCTACGACATGCATATTATTGGAAACATCAACTTAGCTCTCTGGTACTACATTGCTGATCAGTATACTTCATGTAGTGTAGATTTTGTTATGTTAGCTAGTAGATGATAGCAGGCATGTGTTTCTTGCTTGTATGTGTGGTTAACAATTCAGGAAGGTCTTAAATAGTGTTAAAAACTTTGTTTGAGCTCCTTCAGAAATCCTAAAAGAGATTTCCGAGAATTAGGAAATACGGTCGATTATTGTACTGTATTGTAATGTCAGATAGTTGGTTGAGGCGAAGTTGTTGTATATAGTATACTAGCATAAGACAATTTGAATTAGACGCGTATTGCTATCTAGGCTATTTGATAACGGATAGGTATATACATTTTGAAATTCAATTGTCAACTGCAATAGGGGTTTTTATCAAATGCTAGGCTAGATAGGAAGGTCTTAATTAGTGTTAAAAACTCTTTTAAGCTTCCTCAGAAAACTCGCACAGAGGTGTGTGTGAGTTAGAGCATATGGTTGATTTTTGTGCAGTATAAACTAACGTACACTTGATTTAGGTGTAGTAGTTGTTGAATAGATAACATCGGAGAATTTGAATGTCTAATTGATTAAAAGGATAGGTATGTATGCTTTGACATTCAATCATCAACTGCAGTAGGTGTTCAACAAATGCTCTGCTATTAGCTGTAATATGATATTAGTGATAACAGGAATATGTCTGCTCCGGTTATTGCATTAATACTAATATTCTCGTTTTAAATGGAGCTTAATTGAACCAATTCCTTACCCAAAGTTTGTGACCATTTCTGCGTGTTCTTACACAATCCTTGAAGCTTCAATATTTTAGTTTCTTGAATATTCCCTCTGAATCAGTAAACTCTCAATTTTATTTGCATGCAAATCATTCTTATATCCTCATTAATCATGGTAATTGGATATTCCTATGATGTTTTATCTTCCGAAATAGTAAACAATTCCTAACTCAGAATTGCATTTTAGGTAGCAGAACAACTTGGATTTAAATCATGCATGCAGTCATGTTTAGAGTATTTGGAAGCAGTACCATGGGTTGGGGAAGAAGAAGAGGAGAAAGTTGTTTCATCAGTCCTACGGCTGCAGAGTGAGGGAATCGGAGTGACCCCTGTGTTAAAAAGGGTGTCATCTGATATTTCTAAGCCTCATAAGGACACTTTCTCTCACATCCTAGAACTGGTGCTCAAAAGTAATGAAGAGAGAGGTCGCCGTGAAATGAAATCCATAGTACTGAAGCTCCTCAGGGAGAATAACAGTCTTCCAAGTTCATCTAACTCAGTTGACAGTTATTATGAAATAATTTATGGCTCGTGTACAAGCTGCCTGAATTCAGTATTGAGTCTGTTCAAACAAGCAGCTGAACCTGAGTTTAGCAACAACTCCAGTGATTGCAGAGAACCAGTAGTGAAGCAGATGGTTCTAGAGGCGGATAACCTCTCGTGGATGCTTGAAATTTTAACCGACAGGCAAGCAGCAGATGAGTTTGCGGTAATGTGGGCTAGGCAGCAGGAGTTGGCTTCTCTGNCAAGGACACATTCTCTCACATCCTAGAGCTGGTGCTAAAAAGTAATGAAGAGAGAGGCCGCCGTGAAATGAAATCCATTGTATTGAAGCTCCTCAGGGAGAATAACAGTCTTCCAAGTTCATCTGACTCAGTTGACAGTTATAATGAAATAATATATGGCTCGTGTAGAAGTTGCCTGGATTCAGTATTGAGTCTGTTCAAACAAGCAGCTGAACCTGAGTTTAGCAACAACTCCATTGATTGCAGAGAACCAGTGGTGAAGCAGATGGTTCTAGAGGCGGATAACCTCTCGTGGATGCTTGAAATTTTAACCGATAGGCAAGCAGCAGATGAGTTTGCGGTAACGTGGGCTAGCCAGCAGGAGTTGGCTTCTCTGCATACAAAACTACCTATTGTGTCTCGCCACCATGTTAGCTGCATCACAGCGAGGCTTTTTGTAGGAATAGGAAGAGGGGAACTTCTGCCGTCAAAGGAAACGCGTAACCTCTTGTTACAGACTTGGTTACAGCCATTGATCAATGACTACAGCTGGTTGCAGCACGGATGCAGGTCGTTTGACCGTAAGGTAGTGGAGGAAGGAATCGGCAGAACAATCCTAACGCTCCCTCTAGAGGAGCAGCAGAGTATTTTACTTTCTTGGTTAGGCAGTTTCCTCAAGGCTGGTGATAATTGTCCAAATCTTCAGAGAGCATTTGAAGTCTGGTGGCGTCGGACTTTTGTCAGACCATATGCAGAGTCAGGAAATATCCGCCAATTAGACCACTTGATGACTCCAAAGATGACAGAACATTAGAAGCTGATGTATAATTGAAGATCAGTGTTTTTGTTGTATGCAATCAAGAAAGGATGAGGTTGTAAAATTCAATGGTGTAAAGTGTTTTAAGAAGGGCTTTCTTAAATGAAGGGATAAGCTCTCTCAGTCGTATAAAGCCTAACTGATTCCAAGAATTCCTTGTGTGAATCATGTAAATCTTCAAGAATATCATTTCAATTGTCCAATTTGGTGTGTTAGTGATTTTGTAACAGGTATGTAATACAAGTTGGTTGTGTTAATTTGTAGTTTGAATCAAATTTTCTGACAGGACCTTTCCTCTCTCTGCATAGAGTCCAATAGTCCACGGCTTATGTAATATACTGTTTTAGGGTTCAGGTTCTTCTCTAACGGCCAATTTGCTTGTGTTTTTTGTTATTTTCCTACTATATAGAAGAGCGCAGAAGCAACTCTCCGTCGACATCTCTGCTTGCCGACAGAGGGTTATTTTCGTCACTTCACATGCAACTGTGTACTAAATTGTGTCTATTAGTGTCATTCTACGCTTACTCAGCAGTCACCGCTACATGCGTTGCTGACACAAGTTACAACTCCATTTCCCTGTGGATTTTGCACTACTTTGTATTCATAGGTTAATCAATCAGTGAAAGCTTTCTGAGAGGAAAAATTGGGTTTCGGTTGTGGTTCTTCGCCGCTCTAGCCTTTTTTCATCAAAGTAATCGAATTGCAAAGTTCACTTCATTAATCTGTACTGCGAAGCTTCATCTCCGGTCTTGATTTGGCACGCGTTTGTTTAGACAATAATCATTATTTGATTTAGAATTAAAATTAGGCATTTTTTGTTTTCAGATTTTGTTTCTTTTTTTTTTTTTTGGGTTCCAGCTCATTAATTTTTATTTTTTTGAGACTCATCTCATGGATTGAAACATTTGCACTCCACTGCAGTGCCATCTCTGTTTTACCATAATTTTGCTCCGCTTCACCCTCTTCGCTTTCTTCAAAGTTCATTTGTCTTCTCCTTCTTCGTCATTTAACCCTTATTATTTTACTGTGATTTTTATTTTCGTAAATTAAATATTAATTTTTGGAATATAAAATGGTATTTTAACAGAAATTTTGGGTTTTTTCCTGAGTTTTCCGAAGTTTAAAGATGGTTACATGGTTGAAAGGTTAGTTTTACTGTTCTATTTCTTCTCCTTCATATTGGTGAGTGATTATTTTGTTTCAGGATTCTTGTTAGGAGAGGGAAACAAAATTCGATGAGCTTATGTTCGGAGTTGATGTAGATTGGCTGATTATACCAACGTGGACGTTCAGGAAGTGTATAAAAAGAGAATAAGTAAAACTCGATACTTTGCGAATAGAATTGCTTGATTATTCCCTAAGCATGTTGAGTTTTAAACAAGGTTTACAAGCTATCCAAAAAGAAAAAGAAGGCAATTCCTACTCCTAATTAAAGAGATTCTAAACCCTTCCCATATTTACAAGGAATTGTTTTTCTTTTCCATATTAACAATTTACTAATTCTTAATGCTCCGTCTTTTGTTGGAGTGTACATGTCGTATGCTCCTTATTTGCCGCAAGATATACTCAATTTTGGAGCCATAGAGTGACTTTGTAAGAATATCTGCTAATTACTGGGGAATGAGTTGACTGAGCTTTGGTTTCAAGTATCTGGTGATTAGACGTTGAATGTATTAAAGTGGTTTCCTATCCAGCTACAAAGGATTAGTATTTAGTTGTTGTATGCTTGAATTATAATAAGTTGAATCTATTGTGCAAGGAGATTAACAAAGAATTTTGTGGTTTCATGGATCAATTCAAGTGTCATTAGTATCAACAGTTTCTCAAAGACGATGGCCTCCTGGGACTTCAAGATGATCAAAATGTTAAACACTCTGGTGGAAGGTCCATTGTTAATCTGGTGGGATATCCAATTTGTCAAGTTCTTAAATCTCTGTCCTTTTATTATTTCCTTTTCTCCCCTTTCCTATATCTCTATAGGTGTCTCAATTAACTTTTCTTTATTTGACGTGCTCTTTTGTTTTTTCATCATCTTATCTCCAATAATCGCTTGGTCATACTTCAACTTCATCTTTGGTTTGTTTGCACAGAAAAAGAATAGTCCATGCTTTTGGCAAATGCTTAGAGAAATCATCAAATTCAAGCAGGATGTCATAACGTACTATTTCATCCTTTAGCTTGACTATCGGTTAATAAATCCGTTTGATGTTGATGTTTCATTATTACAGCACAACAAAGTATTCTTTGGTTGAAAAGGACTAAATCATTGTGTTTTGCACATGTTCTGTATTTGTGTAAAAAAAGAGCTGTCTTTAATGTAGTTTATGTTTCCCACTCCATTGCAGTTATCTTGAGGCACTTGATAACAATTCTGACATTGATCGGAATGAAACGTTAGGATATTTTATTCAGTCACATGGCTATTCGGAGTTATTTCAGAAAGCTTATCTGGTGATCAGACTTCTGTTCCGTCAAAGTTCTTGATTTTATTACATGCATAGACCATTTTGTTTCATTCAAAAAGATAATATTGCTATAAGCAATTCACACAAATGTTTTGACAGTTTTCAATATGTGCATCAATTTGGTTCTGCCCCTCGAAAAGAGTAATGAGCTTTTTTTGCTTACTCCATTCTTTCATTTTGTCGCAACCATCATCTCTATATGAACGAATGAAGAAGGTCCGGTTTGGTTCTACCATTTTAAATCCCTATATTTTCTCATGTCTATTTATGCATTCACGTGAGTGATTTCTATCCATCTTCTTTTACTAGAAATGATGAAGATGGTCTCCATTAGGTTGATTAACTTTTGTCTTGTTTTCAAACTGCCGACTTGCACTACTAAAAATCTGTTAAAAATGAATCAAATATTTTCGATCAGCATTGGTTGGTCAAAAAAAAGCGATAAAAATCATTCAGGTTGGACGAAAACTGAAAAAAAAAAATTTATATTTTTTTAAAAATTAAATACCGACCAACGTTAGTCGGTAAATTGGTCAACGAATTAACCTAGCTGGTCAGACAAGAAAATTTTGGATTACAGACCAACGTTGGTCGGTAATCTGGATCTAATTTTTTAAATTTTAATAATTATTTTATTATTTAANTAAAATTACCGACTAACTTTGGTCGGTAATTCTGAAATCAGAATTGAAAAATGGGGGAACCCCTATTTCTCTCTTATTTTCCCTTCTCCTTCTCTATTTCCCTCACATAAATCCCATTCCCCACTCCGCGTCGCCACCGCCCAGCTGCCGCCGTCGCCGCTGCTAGCCACTGCCCACCTTTCACCTCTCCTTCTCCACCTCCTAAAAATTCTAGGTTTGAATTACAACTTATTTCTTTTGTGTATAAATTTAATATTTTGTTAATTAGTTATGAATTAGTTAATTAGTGTTTCAATTGATTATTTAACTTTGTATTTTATTGAAATATAGGGTTTAGGTCTTGTTTTAATTGAATTGATTACATATGGTGTAAATTGAATGTTTAAGTTTGTATTATTTTGAATAGTTTAGTTAGGATTGAATTATTAACTTTGAATTGAATTAAGTTTTTAGGATTTGTTCTTGTGAATCGAACTTTTAGGGTATGGGTTGAACTTTTAGGATATGAATTGAACTTTTAGAATATAAATTAAACTTTTAGTTTATGTTTAAACTCTTAGGATATGAATTGAATTGAGTTTTTAGGATTTGTTCTTGTGAATTGAACTTTTAGGGTATGAGTTGAACTTTTAGGATATGAATTGAACTTTTAGGATATGAATTGAACTAGTAGGATATAAATTGAACCTTTTGGATATGAATTGAACTTTTAGGATATAAATTGAACCTTTTGGATATGAATTCAACTTTTAGGATATAAATTGAACTTTTAGTTTATGTTTAAACTCGTAGGATATGAATTGAACTTTTAGTTTTTGTTTAAACTCGTAGGATATGAATTGAACTTATAGTTTATAATTAATTATATTTACTATAATTTAATTTTTGGTGTAATTAGGAAAAAATAATTATCTTGAATTAACTAAAAAAGATTTAATTAATTTATAATTATAGAATAAATTAATTAGTTCTTGTTTTATTTGTATAGACGGAATATCGTACTTGGATGTACAATAGGAACTATCCTAATCGGCGGGGATTACAGGAGGATTTTGTAGAAGGGGTTGATAACTTTATTAGACATGCAATTTCACTT